TATTCGTTTTTGTACAATTAGAAGGGAAAAAAAAAAGGGCAAGTGAATTATGCAAGTTGTAGAGAGAGAAAGGGGGGAAGTTAGAGAGAGAGAGAGAGAGGGGGGGGGGGGGGGGGATTTTAAAAAGTGGGGAAGGGATGCAAGTTGATGAAGGAAAGTCTCTAGTGGGAGTGATAGTGTCACCGGGGGGGGACTTAAAATTCGGACTACCCCGCCCCCATGTTTTATGCCTCATCAACTTGTCTTTTGTCCCATATTATTTTAATTAATTAAAATTCATTTCTAGGCTTTTTTTAGGGGGGGGGCTATTTATTTTGACTACAAAAGAGTTGGTCAAATACTTGAGATTTTAAGGCCCAACTCTATGAGGCTAGGCCCGTTAATTCCAATATTAATGTATACTAGGTGATATAGCTGGATAATGTTTATTATCGACCCCGTAAGGGATGATTTAGTGGTTGGAGCAAGTGAATTCTTGTCAATATATTCATGTTCGAATTCCTTTTGTCAACTGTCGGTCCAGTGTTGTTTACGTCTCTCGTATGATATGCAAGCTACTATACGAAAGTGTAAATTTATCCAATGCACCTCGTATGATTTGCAAGCTATATGAGAGTGTGAATTTATTCAGTGCTACTATATGATTGGTTTTTTATGATTTTCAAGCTATTATACAAGTTTGTAGATCTATTCAATGTACCTATATGGTTGGTTGACTACATTATTCTAACACCTTTGAACATGTCTCGTCTCAAATTATAAACAAACACTACTTTTATTTTCAAATTAATCCATATTTTTTTCAAAATAAAATGAGAACAACTTTCAAAACGGGTCCAAACATTGCATATCTCTATAATTTCAAAAATTGATGCAACAAAATATGCAACATTGTTGTCACACAATTAGAATCGTTATACCACCGATATCCAAAAACTATAATGTTAAATGTTGTTTCAGTTTATTATTTTTGGTGATTAAAGTTGATTCACCTAACTCAAAACAGTACACTACAAAATCTGCATTGTTCGGATTTTCCAAACTCAATCTTAAAATTGTAAAATCACGTTTGAAGTCGAGTCGATATTATCAAAATTGAACGGCGTTTATCGCATCCCAATCGAAAAATTGGGGGAGTTCAAATTTTTAGGTAAAGAATGAATTGATTTTATCACACACCCAATAAACTTCATCAATTTATTTACCAACACACATAAACTATTGCATAAATTAGACGAGCCAATCAATAAATAAAAAAATCGAAATTTCTTCAAAATAAATAAAACATTTAATTTTGTATATCTATTCGGCAAAACGAAATAGGAACCATATCCAAACGGATCCAACCCGGCCCATATTATAAGCCCAATGTTAACCCTACCCGTAATGATCCAGCCCAATTATTTAAATAGTATTATATATTTTATCAGTTAGGGTTTCACTCCGGCTTCATTTCGCGAAGAGAACAAACAGAGACAGCGAACGAGTAGTTGGCGGCGGAGGCGGAGGCGGAGATGGTGAAGTTCCTGAAGCCAAACAAGGCGGTAATCATCCTTCAAGGCCGATACGCCGGCCGTAAGGCGGTGATCGTCCGAGCATTCGACGACGGCACGCGCGACCGCGCGTACGGCCACTGCCTGGTGGCGGGGATAACGAAGTACCCGCGGAAGGTGATCCGAAAGGACTCGGCGAAGAAGCAGGCGAAGAAATCGCGCGTGAAATGCTTCGTGAAATTGGTGAACTACAACCACATCATGCCGACCCGGTACACGCTCGACGTGGATCTGAAGGATGTGGTGACGCCTGATTGCTTGCAGTCCAAGGATAAGAAGGTCACGGCGGCCAAGGAGACCAAAGCCCGGTTCGAGGAGCGGTTCAAGACTGGGAAAAACCGCTGGTTCTTTACCAAACTCAGGTTTTGAGTTTAAAGATTGGATTTTTTTCTGTTGTTTTTAGTTTTGAAGGAGCTCCATTAGTAAATTGAGAACGAGATATTTTAATGTCTTTTGGCTCTTGAACATGAATTATTTTGTTTAATGTCAGATGATTTGAACATGTTTGTGATTTTACATTGGCGTTGTCATTTTGCTTTTTTTTTATTGTTTCGGCATTTTAATTTGAATGGCATTTTCGATATTTTGTCTGTGGTTGTGAAAAAATGCTGATGTTCTTGAATAATAGTTGATAGTAGAGCCTTAATCATTTGATGCATCTTTTGATCTTAGTTAATCACTTAAATGCTTATAACTAAGTATAATGGCTGTTTATTTTATTTGGATTAGCAATAAGTTAAACAAGGATTAATATTTTTATGTTGGTGTTTTTAGCAATGGATTTCGGTATAAGTCTCCAATGAAATACTTCTTGAAGACTCTGAATTCTTTTTGCTTGAACCAATGGTCTCAAATGAGAAATGTCATTTGGAAACATTAAGCATTATATATCTTTCAAACTTAGATGAAGCTAAATTACGGTTCAATATGTGCTACATACGTTCGTGCATATTAATAACGATAAATACCCGATGGTGCAAAAACCCGACGGCATTATCCCATTTGATCTCCATATTGCTCACAAAGACTCATTATAAGCTATATTAATGGCCATGAAAATGCTAACTACAACAGTCGCAACAAAACAAACAGTATAAATACGAAAAAAAAAATAACAAAATTCAGAAATCGCGAAAGCTCATCTTCGGATCTTGCTGTTTCTTAACCGGCCCTATCCTCTTCCTCTACCCCTTCCTCTGCCTCTACCCCTTACCCCTGGCTATACCAACTCTAAAAGACGACTTACCATGGTTCATCTCAACAATCGAG